ATCCCAGAACTGATCCTGGAATCGATCCCTGAACTGATCCCGGAACTGATCCCAGAACTGATCCTGGAGTTAATCCCAGAACTGATCCTGGAATTGATCCCTGAACTGATCCTGGAGTTAATCCCAGAACTGATCCTGGAATTGATCCCTGAAGTGATCCTGGAATTAATCCCAGAACTGATCGTGGAATCGATCCCTGAACTGATCCTGGAACTGATCCCTGAACTGATCCTGGAATCAATCCCGGAACTGATCCTGGAATTAATCCCGGAACTGATCCTGGAATCAATCCCGGAACTGATCCTGGAATCAATCCCTGAACTGATCCTGGAATTAATCCCTGAACTGATCCTGGAATTAATCCCTGAACTGATCCTGGAATTAATCCCGGAACTGATCCTGGAACTGATCCTGGAATTGATCCCGGAACTGATCCTGGAATCAATCCCTGAACTGATCCTGGAATTAATCCCTGAACTGATCCTGGAATTAATCCCGGAACTGATCCTGGAACCAATCCCTGAACTGATCCCGGAATCCATCCCTGAACTGATCCTGGAATTAATCCCTGAATTTGATCCTGGAATCAATCCCGGAACTGATCCCGGAACAATCCCGGAACCGATCCCTGAACTGATCCCAGCACCGATCCCTGAGCGCGGGTGCAGGGGCTGCATTTTTTGGGAATTATCAATCACATGCTGGAATTTCATGTTGTTGATGTGGGAATTAATTAAATCCGTATTTTGTGTCATTTATTGGGAATCTGGGTCGTGGTCCTTGAGGACAATCCCGGAACCGATCCCTGAACTGATCCCAGCACCAATCCCTGAGCGCGGGTGCAGGGGCTGCATTTTTTGGGAATTATCAATCACATGCTGGAATTTCATGTTGTTGATGTGGGAATTAATTAAATCCGTATTTTGTGTCATTTATTGGGAATCTGGGTCGTGGTCCTTGAGGAAATTCTTTCATTTTCCCTTTTCCTTTCCTCTTGTCCCTTTCCCTGTCCCCTTTTCGCTTCTCCTTTTCCTTTTATTCCTATCCCGGGATCCTGATCACAGAGCACTTGGATCCACTTGGGCATCCCTGCCCCAGGACTCCTGCACACGGAACACTGGGATCTCCTGGATCCGCTCCAGGAATCCCTGGGAATCCCTGCCCACAGAACACTTGGATCTCCCACAGCTCTTTGGGAATCCTCAGGAATCCCCACCGTGGGATCCACGGATGCTCACGGAACACTTGGATCTCTGGGATCCACCCCGAAAATCCCTGGCCTGGAATCCATGGATGCTCAAAGGAACCTTTGGATCTCCCAGATGCAGCCGGGAATCCTGGGGAATCCTGCCCTGGGATTCCTGCTCATGGAACACCTGGATCTCCTGGAGCTGCTCCAGGAATCCCTGAGATTCCCTGCCCTGGGATCCCCGGATGCTCATGGAACTTTTGGCTCTCCCAGAGCCACTTCCTGGATCCACTTCCTGCTTGGAGCCGCTTGATCCCAGAACTGATCCTGGAATCGATCCCAGAACTGATCCTGGAATTGATCCCTGAACTGATCCTGGAATCGATCCCTGAACTGATCCTGGAATCGATCCCTGAACTGATCCTGGAATCGATCCCTGAACTGATCCTGGAATCGATCCCTGAACTGATCCTGGAATCGATCCCTGAACTGATCCTGGAGTTAATCCCTGAACTGATCCTGGAATTGATCCCTGAACTGATCCTGGAATTGATCCCTGAACTGATCCTGGAATTAATCCCTGAACTGAACCTGGAACTGATCCCGGAACTGATCCTGGAATCGATCCCTGAACTGATCCTGGAGTTAATCCCGGAACTGATCCTGGAATTGATCCCTGAACTGATCCTGGAGTTAATCCCAGAACTGATCCTGGAATTGATCCCTGAACTGATCCTGGAATTGATCCCTGAAGTGATCCTGGAATTGATTCCTGAACTGATCCTGGAATCGATCCCTGAACTGATCCTGGAATCGATCCCTGAACTGATCCCGGAACTGATCCCGGAATAGATCCCAGAACTGATCCTGGAGTTAATCTTTCTTTTCCCTTTACTTTCCCTTTTCTCTTTTTCTCTTCCTTTTCCCTTCCCCTTTTCCCTTTTTCCTTTCCCTTTCCTTTCCCTTTTCCTTTTTCTTTTCCCTTTCCCCTTCCCCTTTTTCTTTCCCATTTTTTCCCTTTTCCCTTTCTCTTTCCCTTCCCCTTTTCCCTTTCCTTTCCCCTCTCCCATTCCCACAGGTCATTCCCAGCCAGCATCGACATTCCCCGTGCCAGAAGGAGCAGGTAAAACCCAGAAATTTGGGGAAACCTGGGAAAATGAACCCCAGCAATTCCAAAGTTCCCCCTGCAGGATCCCAAGACAACGGGATGTTCCAAATCCGGGATGTTCCCAAATCCGTGTTCCAAGGGCAGGGAAAGGGCAGAGTGAGGGAAATGCTGGGAATGTGGGGCAGCAGGAGAGGGAGGAAAACTGGGATGGGATCTGGGATCAGAACTGGGATGGGATCTGGGATTGGGATCAGAACTGGGATGGGCTCTGGGATGGGATCAGAACTGGGATGGGCTCTGGGATTGGGATCAGAACTGGGATGGGCTCTGGGATCAGAACTGGGATGGGCTCTGGGATCGGGATCAGAACTGGGATAAGGGACAGATCCAGGACAGAACTATAAGCCCCAGGACCAGGATTCCCGTGGGATTCCCTGAGCCCCCGATCCCGAGTGATTCCCCTGGAATATCCAAAGGCGCTGGCACAGAGTGGGGCTGGGAATGTGGGAGGACTGGAGAGGCAGAAGGATTCCCAGGAAAAGGATGCCGGGTCCATGGGAAGAAAATCAGGGAATTGCAGAGCTTGGAAAAGCCCCTGGAGCCTCCAAATCCCCCCCCCCAGCCATGTCCCCATCCCACAGCCACGGGGATGGGAATTCCAGCTGGGAATGAGGATTCCAGCCCAGAATTCCAGCTCTTTCCAGGGGAATATTCCCAAAAATCCCAACTCGAGGCCGTTCCCTCTGGTCCTCTCCCTGTTCCCTGCCTTTCCCAGCCCTGGCTGTCCCATCCCCCCTCCCCCCCCCCGCCCCGGGCTCAGCTGGAGCAGGGAAAAGTCTCCAGATCCGGCCGGGAATGCCACGGGAATTGCAGCATTCCCTGATCCCAGAGATCCCGAGGGGCTCCTGTCCCCTTTTCCCGGCTCCTGGTCCTTCCCCAGCTTCGCCATCCCATTCCTGGCTCATTCCCGGCTCCATCCCTGCCCCCGCCGGGGCCTGGCCCGGGATTTTCCGGGACATTTTTGCTCCATGAAATCAGCGGAGGCTCCTGGATCCGCACGTCCCGGCCTTGGCTCCCGCGGGATTGGCCCCGAGCCCGCTCCCGCTGCCAGCCCGGCTCCTGGAATTCAGGAATTCAGGAATTCGGGCCAGCGGCCCCGGGATGGCTCCGCACCGGAGGAATTTTGGGATCCGCGGCCATCCCGGGCTCGCTCCGAGGGCCGGGAGCTGCTCCCGATTTCCCTGCGGGCCAGGGAGACCCAAACTGGGAAAGGAAGCTGCAAACCGGGAATTCTGGCCAGCCTGGAGGCTCCTGGGAGGAGATTCTGCCTCATTCCCGGCTCCCCGGGGCAGATCCAGCGGGGATTGTCCCGGGAATCAGCCTCTGGAATGTCCCCACGGAGCTGCCCGGGGCCCCTCCAGATCCAGGGAATCAGGGAATTCCTGGGGCTGGAAAATCCCTGGGGATGGGGATTCCATCCCAG